AACTGTCTCGCATTTGAATTGACAGGTAATGCCACAGGCGCAGGAAAGTTGCTTCGCCGATGGTAAATAGATGTTGGTTGGTCGACACACTTTATGAATAGAACGTGGTAGGTGCTATTTTATTAATGAAAAGGCTTATAAGTTAAATGCAAGTTTTTTAAGCGAAGGAAAGAGACACAAATTTAATTGCCGGTAAAAATGATTGACCGCGCCTATGTGCTTCACAGCAAAATGCACATCACTGCATCCGTCAATATCACACGTTAGAGTATACCATAAAATGCTATTTGAAAGCGATCAAAAGGCATGAATGGTGATTTCGGGATGAAAAGATGGTACAGTAAAGCGTACAAAGAAATAGGACCCAGATTGAATATAATCACAGGAGGTAATTAAGTCTCTTTAACAATTACGTAGGGGCATTAATATGATTTGAGACCTATTGATCATGGCAAATTAAGGTAACTAACTCACTTTGATTTCTCATCCCCGGTTTTAACAATTTAAAGCTGCTATGCGTATCCTTATGCGTAGCTTTTGACTAGTCGACAAATTAATAACACGTACACGACATATGCATATTTTGTTTTCAAACCCTGGACTTGGGGTAGTTAGTGCGTACGTTAAGGCTATTAGTTCATTTTTTATTAGCCTCTAACAGAACTTACCAGGTGAATAGGCCGTATTTTTAAATAAGCTGAACCAAAAATCGCTCGATTTGCACATATGCAATTAATTCTGTTTTGTTTGACGAATTTCGTTGACAGTTTGACACTGGCGAGCAGGATACGATCGGTTAATTTCTCTGCCGTTGCATTGCGACACTGAGAAAAATTTAAAATAAGTAGAATTACGCATTAAGCGTCAACCCTCGCTGCAGATACACTTTGTGCCATTGGCGTCTACGCCAACTGTGTCTGCCATCGGGGGGGGGCAATTGGTGAGAATAAGCGAAAAGGGCCTACCCACGCAGAAGACTCCATAAGTGCCCGCCGGCAAGGAGGACAAACATGATGCTACAAGGACCCTTTGAAGAACTCTCTGCGGCGACTGCAAATCAACCGGGTGAGTTGGAAGGACCTCACCCAGACCTGAACGGTGTGGAAGAGATAAGCACAGTGAAGGCTCACGCGGCAATCTACGAAGCAAACCGGACCTCCGCTGCTCAAGCCAAAACGCGGCTCACATGTCACAAGTGCGTAGGAACGTTACTGCTAATGCCAAAGCCCTCACGCTACCTACACACTGTTCGCACGCTCATCGGCCTCATCGGACAGCCTTTTACGCAGTGCACTATGCCGACAACATTCCCCGTCTGCACAACACAACCCTGCATTATACCCCGCAGGGTACGCCACGAGAATCACCCCCTCTCCACCAACTATGCCGCTTTGCTGCCTTTGATCAGCAGGACCGGTTCCACTGCCGCAACCCTTCATCAGTCAAGGCCACGGCCACCAGTGACGCTACCTACCTCGCTCTCATCACCGCTTCACTAGCTCTGACCTCCGTTCAGCGATACCGTCATCCCCACCGCCTCATCTTTCTCACAAGCGAGAGGGACTCGGTTCTAAGTTGTGCTCATTGCGGTTGCAGATCCACCTCACGCACCGGCCTCATCCATCACTCACCACTTCATCGCAGAGAGACTGGTGAGCCAATGCCTGGACTACTAACATACGGTGGAGAACACCACCACTCGCGGAGTCTTTTACCGCATGAACCTAGTCCGTTGCATGGATATCCAGGACAGCGTTATCTACCGTGGTGCTGACCCACCTAACGCTTTTGAGCATCCATCAGCACCCCCATCACCGGCTTTCCCACAAGCAGCAGCAGCATCAGCACAACCAACTGCTGACTCATTACTGTTCGACCTTTTCTGCTCGCCTTGGTCATTCACTTGCGAATCCAGAGACCGGCAAGTCGTTGCCAACAGCGCAAGCATATACTCGCCACACCCCCCCACCCCACTGCCCGTACTGATCACGGACATTCACGCACACCCTATCAGCCTATTAGGCCACCTACTTTTCCAGCAAATCCTACGGTGGAACACCGCCAGGTACACCATAATAACGCAACTCTCCTCAACAGCCCCTACATTATATATGTATGGCTACGCCCAACACAAAGCAATGCTTGCTAGCAACCAACAACTCCCAAGTAAGAGGAATGTGTATGATTCTCAGCTCCTTCTCCCTGTGCCTACTCTGTCATCCATTTGATTCAGGGAACATTATCTGTCGTGACTCGGAAGGTTGTTAACTGATAACTGCTCCCAGACTTCACAGTCAACCTAACGTCTGCTTGTGCGGAGTGGCCTGCTTGTTCTCTCAGAGTCCTGACTTCTGGCACTCTCACGCATGTGAGTTGTGAGCCGCTCAACGCCATCTGTTGGAAACCATTTTGTTAGCGTTTTGAGGGCCGTGTCATGATATTAGATAGTTCAACAGGTGCATCTTCTCCCACGCTAGTCCACTGACCACCTCCGCGGGTGGCTAGGGCCTGAGGTTTGGAAGCGTAAGTGACGTCAATAACTCAGAGCAATTACTTCACACTAAGCCATCCCATTTGGCCGCAGCTCCGACGGTGCGTCAAATAACCGTGACTAGACAGACTGCCAAGACTGAGGAGATAACTAGAGTATCACAGTCAGTCAAATGGATGTGTTTGTGTCTGCCGAATGGCAGACTGAGAGTCTGGCTGCTTCCTAATTTGACACTCCCGTTGCGTGGGATCCGAAGCAGGTGTGGTGGAACGCTGAGGGGTGGTTCCGGCCGCGCCAGCCACCTGCGCCCTTTCCTGTCTCCTGCCCTCTTGGCTTGATCATGGAAATTGGCCCACGTGGGGGTAACGGGGGGGTGGGGTCGAGTTCGGTAGATTGGGCGCAACTCTACCCTCACTGCAACCCAATTGATGCGAAAGTTAACCCGATCGCTTCCAGTCCGCTGACAAGCACGTGGTGGATATAGGCGAGCTCGACGGTCGAACTGTCCGATTTCAGTCATATTTTCCAGTGAAGCATGTCGGCACTGAGTTGATAAGCAGTTGACTATGAAGGTGTCAAAATTGTTGCAGATTACTTGAGACAAGTACTGTTAATACTAAAACCTTTTACTTCTTAACCCATTGATATTTAACTGCAAGGCAACTTCAAGCTTTATCCGCTTTCTATTACTTAGCAACATATGAACTTTAAAAAATCATGAATAAAAATGCCTGCTGTGAAATTTCTTTCTCTTTTTTTATTTATTAGAAATAACTAACGTCAGGTAAAGTCAGTTTAAGAGGCAGCCATTGCGTCTTCTACCTGCCTATTCATTATTTCACAATTCTGTAATTTGAAATTTCTAAAAAGAATTAAAGGGTGTAGGACGCACGCGAAAGCTCTGTGACCACGCAGGGGATTCTCTAATATCTGAGTAGCAAAATTTTAGGCTAATATTTCGCTTCCATCAAAATGCTTGGGCGTTAACCAAAAGTAATATTTATGAATTTGTCAAAATGATGTAAAAAGCTGCTAAAGGCACTTAGTCGCAGATACCGGAGGCTTTTAAACGGCACTGGTCAGCGCAAAAATAAAATTTATCAAAACGACCCATTTTTTCGAGAAGGCATCGAGGTGCAGCATGAACAGTGTTCATGCATTTTAGTTAACGTAAATTAATTTTAGACTTGGACATCAATTATAGTGAGCTTCTCCAGCAGAATTTGTAGTGACGTAGATTGCAAAAAGTCTACTCTGCTTTGCTTAACTCCCAGAGTTTACGAAAGAAGGGGCAGAGCAAACTACGCAGTGAAATTGTACTTATTAGCTGCATGTTTTTCCTATGAATATGCACACGTTAATTATAATATTACAAGCGTTTGGAATCGTTGCTCATTTGTCCTCAGCTATTCAGCCTTCGTGGTTAAGAACTAGCATAAGCTATCTGCATATGAGCGGCAGGCAACTGAAAAAGGCACTAAAATGACCATTAACAGTATTTTTCTTTCTTCTAAAGTTAGATAATCCAGAAGTGTGTTATTTTTCTTCTTAAAAACTAGAAAATGCATGATGGTCTAATGTGCATGTCGTTAATTAGGCCAAATTCATACTTGGTCGTGTTTTTTTAAATTGCTTACCAAAACTATCTTTTTCATAGTTATAAAAACTCCGACGCAGTCTGAAATCTGTGAAGTTAATCAATGCAGTCTCGATGGCATCAAGCAACAGCACTAAATTGACAGAATTGTGCAGAACTCTTGATAAAATGTGTATTACGAGACTTGAATCAATGACCAAAATATATTTTG